AGATGTGTTCCCTTCATTTCTGGGCCTCAGTTTTCTCATCTGTGAAACCACAGACCTCTAAGTTCCTTAAAATTAGTTTCTCCCGTGGCTTCTTCAATATTACTGTTATTTCAGAAAACACTATGAAAAGATGTCAGGTACTACCTGCTCCCCTAAGGGTCTTGGTGGGTCTAAAAGTTCTGACTATAATACAGAAAATTCAAAACTAAATAAAACATTTTGGAAAGCATCATATTTGTTCTCTGAATATGTTTTTTCCCATAACTCTACTTTGTTTTTCCTGGCTCACAGTATCTGGGCCTTTCCAAAAATAACTTCATTATAGAGCATGCATCCCCAGGACAAAATCCTCAAGGTAGTTGAATTATACTTAACCAAATTTGAGCAAATTTAGCAACATGCAAATTAAGAGACATGTTGACAGGTTTTAGAGCCAGAAGAGAGAAGTACTTTGTCATTTTAATGTTGATAATGTGCATGACATCCCAAGAAGTTTCCTAAAATTTTCCACAGGGCTCCCCTTTACAGTTGGCACCATGAGCAGCAGTTCAGTCCTCTGGAAGTGTGTGTATCTAGTTAAAGTGTGAGAATTTTCAGTCCTGAGGAGAGCTGCTTATACACAATCCTGTAGTGCCCTAAATCAGAGGGGAGGACCTGGTGAGGAAATATGCAGCCATCCTCGGGGTGGCAAGAGCTGTTTCATTCTTTTTAAAGGAGGTTTTCAAAACAGATTTTCAAAACAGATTTGTTTCTTACTTCTCAACTACAATTAATGCCACGCTTGAGAAAGCTTAAGATGCCACCTTTTGTTATAAATCATGCACCAGTTGAACATAATTATGACTTGGGCTGCTTATTAGATCATTTGGGAAAACAGCCTCCTTAATTCATTTCCTTGTCTCTTTTTAAAACCTTTCCAACGAAAGCAGATTATTTTACAGCTGTTTTACTCTGAACCGGAACTCATCTTTCTCACTGTTTAGTGGCATGTCCTGATTTGCTCTGTCTGACCAACAGCCTTCTTGTTAAGCTATAGCCCAAAGGCTACTCAGTTATGAAGCTGTTCCCTGACAGAAAAGAAGACACCCAGGGCATTCACCAGGACAAAGAGGAAGCTGGATTACGTAAGAAACTTCCATGCCTTCACTTTTCCTCTTTGAGCCCCCATGTAGCATCTCAAAGACTGTAATTTACCTAGCTGAAGAGATCAGCTGTTTAAAGAGTCCTGCTGCTCTTACAGAGGACCCGCATTCTAGTTCCCAGCACCTACCTCAGATAGCTCACAACTATCTGTAATTCCAGCTTCTGAGGATCCAACCCCCTCTTCTGGCTCCAAGGGTATCATCACACATGTGGCATAGATACATACAGACACATATATCCATTTTTAAAAGATTGTAATTTATATGTACAAATTATTCTGTGTCTTCAAGTACTTAGTAATTTAGTATTTCAAATATTTGGAAATCTTTAGTATTCTCTTCATATTGGAATTAGTCAAAAGTGCCATCCCCCAAGAAGTATGAAACTATTGATAACAAATGAAACCTTCTCTGGGTTATTGATTTTCTTCTGGTCAGCTCTTCTGCCAGCTTCATGCTTCTCATCCCAGAAGTCAGTAAAGAACACACGTGGGCCCCAGTGGATCTTGGCTTTGATAAATCTTGATTGCTTCCTTCAAGCAGAGCCCTCTGCCACTAGCAAGGTTCCCACTCCAGACGCAGCCAGTTCCAGGTAGGAAATAAAGAAGTTCAGGCGAGAACAAGGGAAAGCTAACAGTCATTGACAGAGATGAACAGCATGAATGATCACATTTGCATGATGTTGCCATTCTGGAGTCAGTGTGAGTGAAGCTGGGGAGATGGTACAGTCAATAAAGTGTTTGCCTTGCAAGTACAGGGACCTGAGTTTAATCCAGAACGCATATAAAAATAAAAAAAATTAAAAAACTTGCTGTAGTAGGGCATGTTTATAATCTCAGAGCTGGGGAAACAGACAGGCAACTCGGGAGCTTGCCGGCTAGCCAGCGTAGCCTAATTGCCAAGCTCCAAGCCAGTGAAAGACCCTATCTCAAAAAGCAAGATGGATGGTACATGAGGAATGAACCTGAAGTTGTCCTCTGACCTGTGCACATGCACATGCCTGCACAAACACACACACACACACACACACACACACACACACACACACCGCACGCACACACCTGCACACACACACACACACACACACACACACACACACACACACACACTAAAAGAACGCGGGTGGCAACTCCACATTCAACCACAGATATACTATTTTCCATTGCTTTTTCCACTAGGCTGATTTCATTCAGCAAAGTTCCACCAGGCAGGACTGTGGCATGTGATGAGACATGATGCAATAGTATCAGTGTCTTAACACATTCCTTGTCTTTCTTTAGATGATCTATAAGTTAACATCACAAATAGTAGCTGTGAACTAAAATACAGCTTCCTATCATGTTTTCTGAAAAACAGAACTAGAAACCTCATTCTTCCTTGTCTAGAATATTATTGGCTGAGAAGTCTTTTCTGTATCTCAGTAGTTTTAAAGAGGTGAGGAAGTAGGATGTACTTCCTTCCTATATCCCATCTAACATGGAGTACATACTGGTGTGGTTGTATTGATGTTTAATATGGCTTAAACATGGTTTGGCTAAACCAGGGAGTAACAATACTGTTTTCAACACTGTCGTGTTTGATCATGATTTTGAACTTGTCCAGAGGAGCATGACCAGGAAAATGAAGGATTGAAAATACATATAAATGGAAATATCCATCTAGCCCAGAATTGGGAAGATCAAAAGAGGATTGGTAACTGACATCAGATGCTTACAGGACTAGTGATCTGTTCCATGTGTCCCTAGAGAGTAACAGTGCCTGGTGAGTGGAGCCCCCGAAATGGTGTATCCAATCCATATAACTCCAAACTGGAGGGCTGACTGCAGGTGTTGGGTTCCCCCATCCAGGGAACTTAACAGGAAGGTTTATGGTGCCTCCCCAGATATTTCTAATGTCTCTCCACCGAGACTCCTGTAGTTTAAAATCATAATAAGTGACCTAAATGATGTGTAGGCAACTGATCAAATACACCATGTGCCTGTGGGAGGAGCATGGTGGGGGATCACCTGTTAGTCTGACTGGAATCAGGTAGAAAATGCACTTTCTCTCTAATTTATTTGAGAAGCTCTCATAGCAAGGTAGGGGTGTGTGTCTGTGTGTGTGTCTGTGTGTGTCTCTCTGTGTGTGTGTATTTACTTTGTTTTGCTTAGAAAAAATGTAGAAAGAGCCCACCTGGTGGGAATGAGAGGCCATGGATCAAAAAAAGACATGGAATGGGTGGGTAACCTTGATATTGGATCTCTGCTGAGTAGAGGGTAAATTCAAGAGTAATATGAGTCAAGGAAAATTTGACTTATCAGTACACAATTGATCCACATAAAAGAGTAGAAAAAAAACAATTACCATTTTAGTGCCAGGTTACTAATTCCAGAAATGGTCATAGCTACACCTAGCCCAACCCTCAAAGTGATGCCATCATAAGTTCTTGGTGCTGAGGATAGAAAAGGTGAGTATACTAATGATGTGCTTGGCTCTGAGCCCCAAATTCTGGGCTCAGTACACATTTCTTCATGGCTTTTCAGATGACTGCTTGGCGATTCAGTATACTCCCAAGGCCATCTTACCATTTACGTCCTTTCCTTTAGTTTTCAAAGCAACAGATATCTTCAGTATAATGAACTGAATGTCATATCTTGTAAAAGATGCATTTTCAAGCAAATTCTTATTAATAAACTTGCTGGCATAAATATAGTGGTAAATGTCTTCTTGCAATAAAAGAAGCCCATGTCTGTTGGTAGCACTGTGTCATTACATTCTAGATCTTTCCATTAAACTAAGAGGCTAGTCTTTTCTTAAGTTGATTATAACATAAATAATCTTGGGACTGGCAAGGTTGCTCAGCAGATAAAGGCATCTGCCATCAAGTCTGACAACCTGAATTCAGTTCACCCAACTCCCTCAGGCTGTCCTCTGATTGCCACAAAGGTGCCATGATTCTCTCTCTCATACTTAAACCTGCACAGAGAAGCGTTTTGCTCAGAGATAGATATGCAACAAAGAACCACTAACAGAAAAAAAAAATTAATCACAGTAGCATCCATTGATTACCAAGAACAGAACAAAATTACCTTTTCAATGATAAAATGTTTCCATGGAAATTTGGACATGAATTATTACCTTCATGTCATCTGTTGTTCTCGAATTTTTACTATTGAACAGAGTTTGAACAAGGCCCTTGCTTTGCTATAATAATGACCTTCATGGCCTTTCTGAAAAGAAACACTTTACACCAACTCACCTCTCTGCTGCCCACAGTCCGTTTATTCTTAGAGAACACAGGAAAGCATGACGAGAAACAAAGATAAGCCTCATTCCCCAGTTCTTGTCTGGCTTCTAGGGCACTCTTGCTTCCTCCTCTTTTCAAAGATCAGTTCTTGAGTGTGCTAGGATAAAAATCACCTCATCCACCTAGAAATGGGGGATTGTATATATTAACAGGAAAAACATATGGGGCAGTTTCTATAAATTATTTCCTAGAGAGACACCCTCCAGGAGACCATGGTTAAATGCATTGTTATTTGGGGAGTAGCTGAGACCGATAAAGAGTTAATCTCCTTTTGGTCATCAATAGGTACAAGGTGCTCAAAATATTTAACTGAAAGGAAAACCTCCAAAATACTTTTTCTGTTACTAAGTGTTGGAGGGAAATGGAAAATGACTGCCTGTGATATTGAGTTGTCTTGTATGGGGTCATGATCACCCGCTGAGAATTCCCTGCCAGTCCCAGACTCCTTGGTTCTGCTAACGCCTGTGGGACTGATGAAGTGTTGCATGCTTGGTTAGGTGGTCTTGTTGGGGGACTGGGTTTGGGCAGCCAGCAGATTTCTGATCTCTAGTTTGCATTGATCTTACATTTAGACACAGATTCAGAAGAACAGACCCTCCCTTTTCCAGTGCCTTCGGAAAGATTGCCGCTCCGTAGAATGAGTCCTTTCTCCTCCACCCTTAATCTACAACCCAGCTTCCCCGGGAGATCCTACTTTGATTTCCGATCCTCACCCCACCAGCTGAGCTTGCACTCTTCTTTACAGTCTCTCAATGCACCGGGTGAGCTGTGCTGTCAGACTTTCTCTTCATCTCTGTGCCTTGGAGGCATCCCTGAAACACCTGTGTTGTTCTTGCCATTCCTGGGGGAGGGGGGGGAGTTAATCTATGTCTGTGGCTTCCAGTGTGGTGAGCATCTGGCTGAGGGAGCTTCATGGTGTTCTTGTGTCTGTGGTGTAAGGACCCACATGGAGCTGTGGTTCATGTGTGATGGCATCGGAATGCGATAAGTGAAGTGTTCTTTTTGCACCAGCTGGTTACACCATGGGAAACTTGCTCTCTCTCTCTCATCACATGCAGCAAAGTAGCACTGCACTGGCTGAGTTCAGGCCATGGCAGTAGTTTGGAGGTTTGCAACCCTCTGTATCCAGGAAACCAGCTGTGTCTGGGAGACTGGATCAGTGCATCCAGCCTGGAGTGGTCTGATTAAACATAGACTCAAGAGATCTTTACTGACAAAACTAAGACTTTAAAAACAAAGCAGAGCAGAAAGTGAAGGCATTTTCTGCAAAAGCCTGCAGTAAGGCAGCAGGTTCCCAGCCCATCACTTCCCTAGCGAAAGGGACCACCGCCAGCTGAATTAGAAACCCTCCACTCCTGATGCCTAGTCCTAAAATCCCGTAATCAAAAAACCATGACTTCATGAAGTTGCCCAGAGCCAAGCTGGTTGTGACAGGGCTTATGGCTGATTCCAGGGAAACTAGACTCCTGCCGCTTTGCAGTGAGCTCTGCCTAGCAAACAGAATCTTAAAATACCTAAGATGCAGACCTGTGTGATCTCTTCAGGACTATATTGTAATCATGGATACACACGATGCACATTTCACATTTCCAAGGGGTTCTTTTGGGTTTTTTTTTTTTTTTTTCATTCATTTGGCTCATCCCACATCCCGGAATGAAGAAGGCCACAGCATGACAGTGCAAAAAGGATGCAGGAGCTTCAAGATTCCTTGAAAAATGACATTTTTCTTTGTGCCGTCACGTTTCTCCTTGTTTTCCTGTGCGCTATTGGCTTTCCCATATGCTTTGTTATGGAACTCTCTTCACTTGTGTCTAATGTACTGAAATATTGTTACTGTCTTTGTAATGTATATTGTCTCAAAATAAATGAAATGTGGGGTTGGGAGTATTTGATGGGTGTATCCAATGGCTGTGTTCTAGTTATATCATTGAATTTTAAATGTACAATGTGTTTTAATGTAGTGGGAAAAGAGTCAGAATATTTGTTTTTAAAAGACTTCCACAAGGCATGATTCATTTAAAAAAAAATGAAAGCCCTATTCAGAGTCCACAAGTTTATTTCCAAACCAGGGTATGAAATTCAGCTTTAAAATTCTGCGTGTTCTATACTTACTGTGCTCCAATCCATAAGAAGGAATTGAAGTGACAGTTGATAGAAACTAAACATAAAAATCAGACATGCGTTAGGAGAAAATGGTTCTCTTATATGTGAATTTATCTCAGAATAAAGTAAGGTAAGCAAAAGGAAGGCTACAATGCTTAAATTTTGTCTGAAATTTTGTTTATAGTAAGTTGTTTTTATTGATTCTTATAAAATTCTTTCAAGCCAATACATTATCCATCTAATTATTTTAGAAATTAGTGGTAAGGGCCTTTTTTGGGGTTATATGGTTCTTTTCCCCCCAAATATTCACCAAAACCACATTTTCTAGACTAGGCCTCAGCATTGCTGGAAATCGTGGGTCACACACCTTGAATGTCTTAAATCTGGATCCTGCTCCTCTACCTCAGTGCAGCTTCTCATCTGTAGGACATCCAAACCTTAAGGAGGGAGAAGCTAGAGAAAGTTCTGCAAGAGATTCTAACATAGGCCTCAGCCCACCTCCACCCCATCAGCCTTCCTCCCCTCCCTCAGGTGAAAAGGACTGATGTAGCTAAACAAACTAAGGAAAGAAATCATCTTTGTTTTTATGATACTCAATTCACGTCGTTATCAATTATCAGAAGCATTCATTCAGGTGTGGATTACATTACACACCATGTAATTTGGGCTCATCACAGCAAGCAAAGACATTTGCCATAAACACATAGGCGATGCATAGAATACTGACACCCAGTGATTTTACCCTTTTCAACTGGATGAGTTTTTCTCATCTTTCAAATAGTCAGCCTTCTTCATTTGCAAACTTCAGTGGGCAAAATTAAACTAGGGAGATACTGAAAATTTGAGTGGTGGCATCTACGGTCAGTTGGACAAGGTTTTTGTTGAAAATGCGAAAAGATGTACTTTTCATTTGGAAGGAGCACTGAAGAAATTTTTCCCTAGCAAAGAAATGTGAAAAGGGGCTTTGTTTTTTCATGAATCAGGCCTCTGGTGACTGTACTCAGTTGGTGCTTTCTAAATGAATACAAATAATTTTTATCAACCTGGTTGTCTCTTCATAGCCTTGATGTGTAGTTATCTTTTTATAGGATGCAATTTTGAGACACAGTCTGCACCTTACTCTCAATTAGGCAAGTATACTTACTGTAATTGTTACCTTTTGCCGATGTGACTGCTATGCTTGATTTCCTCTGCACAATAAATGGTAGCAGCTTATTTTATGTCAATAAAGTCCAATTGTCATTCTAAATCCATTATAACTGTTCTCAAGTTCTTAGAAAAAAAAATGTCTATCTTCTTAAATGTTATATCTTAAACCTTTCTCCAGGTTTTCTTCCACACTCTTTATGAGCACTAAATATCCACAGAGACACAAGTCAGACTTACTGCTGTTATGTCTGTAATGTCTGCAGTGGAGCCCTTTGTTGGTTGGTTTTAGGTTATCAAGAGAGACACGTTTTCTCATCAGTGTCAATTTTGCCTCCTATTTCTCTCCCTCATGCCTTTCATTGGAATGACAACAGTTGACATTAAAAAGCTGTTGGCAGGTATGGAATAACCTTATTCTCTTCCAAATAGCAGAGATGGAAGTGTATGTGAGGTGGCATACAGTCTCACTCGGTACATCAGCACTCTCACCTTTCCAGACTGTTCTTTATAGGCAACACTTAGAACCGAGGACATAGTTGCAAGTGTAAAGTCTTCGTGCTGTCTGCACCTAACATCCAAACTGCTTCTGCAAAGTATACTACATGTTAGTTTTTAGGAGTAATGCTATCTATAAACGATGAAGGAAGTAATCTGTCCTGCATCCAAGTCACAGTCACATATGAACGTTAGTTTATGTTGCTTACTTCATGGCTTATGAGCAGGCACGAGAGCTGAGGGTATTTTCAGCACTTCTGCCTAAGCCATATTTCCTGATTTCACTCAGTGCGTTTTATCCCTCCTCCATCCAGGACTCTAGTCTAGGCTCCCGGCCTCAGGGTTATACATCCTAGCACATCCCCCTCCCTTTATGTCTCTGGTGCACTATTCTGCCAGTCACCAGGTGATGCCACTTGATGCTACTTCACTCCCGGAACAGCTGGTTGGGAGTGCAGTCTGAGCCAGGTAACCCCTGCTGAATCGGTTGTGTGTCCTCCGTCTGCTCCTGGTGCAGAGTACCAACTCCCAGGACGTATCCCCATCTGCTCATGGCAACTCCAGCCACAGACACCGCCTTCCTGCATGGCAGCATGAAAATGTGACACTATGCTCCATACCACCCAGAAGTGTGTTACAGTGCTGTGCTTGCTGGGGCAATCCTAATAACCCACTTCCCTTCTATTGTTCTCAGTGGCCTGGTTCGCTTTTGACCCTGGCTCTGCACACTCAGACATCATCTTCTCCAATGACAACCTGACAGTGACCTGCAGTAGCTACGATGACCGGGTGGTGTTGGGGAAGACTGGCTTCTCCAAGGGCGTCCACTACTGGGAGCTAACCATAGATCGCTATGACAACCACCCTGATCCTGCATTTGGAGTGGCTCGCATCGATGTGATGAAGGATGTGATGTTAGGAAAGGACGACAAAGCTTGGGCAATGTATGTGGACAATAACCGGAGCTGGTTCATGCACAACAACTCGCACACCAACAGGTACCCTGCAGCCCCACACCAAGCCTTCTTCATGGTGGCTTGTGGTCAAGAGGGAGAACCCTAGTTCAACCACCTGTTACACAGACAGCATTAGGAAGCAGGGCACGTGTTCTTCACTGAATAGCACAGGAGGTCCGGTGCTAAGTACTCTCTTAACTCAGTCCACCCTGCTGTTTTTCACCTTGCATAGCGGTAGAGATGTCATCACTTTGCCTTGGTCCTTCATTGTTAGATGCTACCCAGGGCTACAAAGGAGATGTCCAGGAATATCCATTGCAGGTAAACAATTCAGGATTTTAAAGCCCAGACCTAGAACTTACAAGGAAAGTGTTTGGGGCCAAGGTACTTCATTTTTCTGAACCCCAGTTTATCAACCCTCCAAATTAGTGTGATAATGTGCTTCCATGCAAGAGTGTTCTGAGAATTAAATGAGACATAAAAATGCCTCACATCAGAGGCACCTGAAAATAGAAGCCATTGTCCTTATGATTATCACCAGTGCTGTTCTCAGAATAGAAACCATTCACCAAGCTCAGTGCTAAGGATGCCAATGTGGATAGCTTTAAACTTGAAGGACTCACTTATGATAGTGTGAATTCAGAGGACCCAGTTTGCTAAAGGAAGAGAACACAGTATGTCCATGAGTAATTTCCTCTGTCATCAAAAACAGTTTCAATTTAACACGCCCTATAGTTTCCCTCTGGATTTCCTTTTTCACTTGTCTGTGTTCTCTTCAAGTGGATTTTTCTCAGATTTCCTAGGCCAAGATGTATCTTTTCATGGACGCTGGCCTGTCTGATTCTCCGACATTCCCCAGGATACATTCTCTGAAAAAAAAAATTATCCAGTGTGTCAGTGAAATAGAAGGGAAAGCAGGTCCAGCTGCAGTAAAGACTGATGCCTTAGTTTTCCTGTCAGCTCATCTCTGCCCCCTCCTCTGTCAGTAGATTCCTAGAGCTTCCTGTTCCCATGGATAATTTCTGTCCAGCTCCATCCACGTGTGAGTTATTGGCTATCCTTGAAGTGAGCACACAGCCTGTTTTATCTTGATAGCCAATCCAACTGGCTGCAGATAGCAGTTATCTTCAGAGATTCACACTTTGGGAGACTCTTTCACTAGATTCCTGATGCCGTCACCCTTATGCTGTTTAGCATCTTTATTTTGGAGCACCACCAACACACTGCAGAGAAACACATTCAGGAATCTGATACACCTGCTTGCATGCACACTGCATGTCACTGTGCTGTTGCTGCTAACTTGTAAATATGATGTGGCCGCTAAGCCTGTCTTTCAGTGGCTGTGTACAGTCTGTATTCAGCATGCAGGAGGAAATGAACGATGTTTATAAATTTCTGTACTCTGCTGAGATGAAGTTCGGTTTTGTAGATCTCAAAGACAAGAGGGAAGACAAATCTGATTGTCCCTGTTTAATGGCATTTTGTGAAACCATCATTTGAAACAGAAGACACATTCTTTGTAAAATGACATGACATTTATACTAAGGTTATTAAAATCACTATATTCCCTGTAACATAATTAGGTCCCAGGGAAGAATCTCCTTCAGTGCTATCATTTTATAGAGACTCTTCTTCATTCAGATTCAACATACCAAAAAATTACCATCCTTCTAGAATGAATTTTACTACTTAATGGAAAGCGGAAAGCCCCAATCCAATTTCTCATGCATGTTTCAGGTTCAACTTCAATGCTTCTTCACCTGGGCTTTCAGATTAAGTCACTTCATAGTAAATGATGTTACAGTCACACCATTGCTGCACAGTATGCAATGTGGCTAGCGTTTGAGCTTCCCTAGCCGGAAGGCTACTTTTGCCCAGTCTTTGGTATTCAGTTTTCTACTGCTGCAGCTCCGTGGTAGAGACTCCAGGTGGGCCAGTTCACTCTCAGCAAGGCTCAGCAGTCAGTGCACTGTCATCAGGGGTGGCTGTCTCCAACAGGGGAGTGGGAATTGGTGGGGGACAAAAAAATATCGAACTCGTGTTTTCATATAGAAAGCACAGATATACATGTGATATATAAATAGCATATAGTGTATCTGTGGCTTTAAATTTGTACGTGAAAAGGAATGGCTTGAGGGAAAAAATGTGTAAAAGGGCTGAGCCAGGGACAAAAATTTTAAATAGGTTACAAAATTGTTTAACTGAGCCTGGTGATACAGGTCCCATCTACTTGGGCGGCTGAAGCAGGAGGATTACCAAAGGTCTGCTTGGGATGCAGTGGAAATTCAAGGCCAGCCTGAACAATTTGGTGATCCCCTGTCTCAAAATAAAAAGGCAAAAAGAAGTCTGGGGCTATCTCCCAGTGGTAGAGCGCTTGCACACCATACACAGGCCTTAGGTTCAATCTCCAGTACCCAAACTCCAAAACAAAAAGAAACAAACAAAAAGAATGTTTCAAATAACCAAAGGGGGGAGGTTTTAGAATTTAACCAGCAGTTGGAAACTTTTTTTTTTCTTTGCCCACAGAACCGAGGGAGGGATCACAAAAGGGGCCACCATTGGCGTCCTCCTCGACTTAAATAGAAAGACCTTGACATTTTTCATCAACGATGAGCAGCAAGGCCCCATAGCATTTGAGAACGTGGAGGGCCTATTCTTCCCTGCCGTCAGTCTGAACAGGAATGTGCAGGTAAGCACTGAGCCCCTGGGAGTAAGAGCAGCTGTCTCAGACTCTCCAAGAGGGAGGCTGAGGTCAAGGCCCAGGATTCCAGTACTTCATCTCTAAGCTGAAAGGAAATGCTTTAACAAACAGCCTGAAAACAGCCGAGATGACTTACACAGAGCTGCAAATTGCAAACATCAGACCTTAAGGGAAGTGGGAGGGCCTTTGCTACCCACCTTGGCCCCTTCACTCCACCTGGTGCTGTGGGCTGGGAAGCGTAGCACACAGAGCTGCAAATTGCAAACATCAGACCTTAAGGGTACCCACCTTGGCCCCTTCACTCCACCTGGTGCTGTGGGCTGGGAAGCGTAGGCCCAGTCTATGAGTTAGTTATTTACAATTTACTGTAGATCTAAAACAATAGATTCTGCTCATTCACATGTTCAGCAATTACTTACAGTGTCCCTTTAGCATGGCAGACCTATTGTAAGTATTTAGTATGCATCAATGAAGGGAGATAAAACCGATCCAAAGCTTACCCTCCTCGAGCTTACATTCTACGTATAGAGAGTAAGCAATCTCATTACCAACCAGAAACTTCATTCAGAATGTCTGCCTTAAGATGGTCTTGAGAATAAAATCCCTGCAGAAGATTTTAGCCCACTCTAGAGATAAACTTGAAACGTTTTTTAAATAATTGTCTCTAAGTATATGCAGTAAAGCTGATGACAACCCAGTGACGCCTGTGCTTCCTACAAGTCAGTGGGGTTTTCTGGGGGACTGGAATCTACTACTTCAGAGGTTAGCTTGTACATTAGAAGAAAGAAACCATAAATTGCTACAGAAGTGAATCTAAGAAAGGCCTCAAAGTTTTCTACCTTTTCGGCCATGTCCTTTCTAAAGACTATCATACCAGACAGGCTTCCGGGTTTTTGAGGATAGTCTCATATCTTAGGGTAAAGATTCTTGGCAGAAACAGGAAGGAAGAAATGGCTGTATTTGTGAAATGCTTCTAATCTTCTCCATGTAGCTCTCCATTGAAATACAAGGTTAACTAGAAATTGGCAGAATAAGTGCCCAGGTTTCTTCAAACCAGGAAATCTACCATGCAAACCTAGAAAGACTTACCCACAGTTAGAATAGCTCATGGAGAACCTCATCTCCCAGAATGCTTTAAAAGAAACAGTGATATAGCTGAGAATTATATTATATTATCAAGTGTCTCCAAGATTTGGGAGCCTATCATGGTGGCCAGTCTCTGACCACAGCTAAATCCTACTAGACATAAGTCTCTTTAGTAGGTCTGCCAGGATGGACATTCAAGAGAAGTACATGGTCTCCCCTTTGAATTGGGGGGCATATACACTGCACTGTGTCCAGGGTGAGGGGTCACCATGGTGCCTTGCAGAACTTAACAGTCTTGTCCTCCAGGTCACACTTCACACCGGGCTCCCAGTCCCTGATTTCTACTCCAGTAGAGCCTCCATAGCCTAACAGTGTGCTGTGGAGGCACCAGCTGCCCAAGAAAGGGACAACGCAGAGCCCTGCAAGCTGTGGCAGGACACAGAATTGGCAGAAGACAGAAGAGGAGAGCAGCTGGTCCTCTGCAATCTTCACCCCCACAGCTCTGCCCTTTCCCACCAGCCTCTCCGAGTCACTCGACTTCCCTTCCTTATCCAGCAGTTCTAACCCACAGAGGACCTCAGCAACTCACCACGTCACTTCATTTCCACTCTCACATGTTGCTTTTCTTTAACTTAATTTTTTAAATGTAGGTTGAGTTCATTTTGTTTCCTTTCTGATCATGTTTTTGGTGACTTACCTAACTGGCACAGCCAAGAGAAAAATTCTCCTGGAAACTCTTTTCTTAAGATTTTGGTCAAAGAGGTTGTAGGAGGAGGGGTTTGGGGGGCAGGTAGAAGAGAATAAGCTAAATTTAGAGCTTGCCATTTAACTCCTAGAATGTTCTTGCCCTGATACTTCTCAGGAAGTGTGGGTCTGCATGACCGACATCTTGGGAGGTGGGCAGAGTACACCTGGCACTGAGAAGTCTTACCACATCCTGAAGCACAAACACATCAGCTACACAGGTGCACAGCAGAGTAGGACCATTGAGGTTGGCTCTAAACACAGGCAGACCGGGGGTTAAGCATTTGATTCATTTAGTTAATATAGGTTTTTAATTAGGAACTACTACAGACCAGGCACTGTTCAAGACACTAGAACACTGTGTTCTAGACACTGTGGAAACACCAGGTGAAAAGATGAACAGTCTCCGCCTTCCTAGAACTTCGATTCTGGAAGGAGAACAAAGCAAGCATTAAACAATTTCAAGTTGTTCAAAATATCAGAAAGGAAATAGACAAGAGTATAAAATGGTGGTTGGCAAGATCTTTCAGGTTCCTTACACTGATGCTAAACCACACATACTCTGGCCATCACACCAGACATGTACCAGCTCAATGCATTTTCCATGGCACTATTTTAACCACAGTCTCTCCTGCCACTCATCACAGAGCCCTTCTTTGGCAGAAATATGTCAGCATTCCTTCTCATTAATGCTGCAGTCATACCAAGCCTTAAAAAATGAATGTTAAAAAAAATGGTAAGAGGACACAGGACCCAGTCAGGAGACCGGGCTCCTAAGTTGCAGCCCACGGCATTCATTCTCAGGACCAACACGCCGTCTCCACATGTCCTATCTGTGCCTCTTACAAGTAAGAGTCCATCCCCTCGCTTCCAGTCACAGCCTGACTGTCTGAAGATGCTCAAATCAGATTTGGAAAACCGTGAGCTTGGATGTCATCCCTGAGACTAATGGCAGAAAAATGACACTTACTACTTCTAAACAGAATGACACTTGCCCTTCAGATTCTTTAGTTTGTCATGAAGCTTTAGAGAATGCAGGACTGGGAAAAACAATGTTCTGATTAGTTGTCTGAATATTTTCCACTCATCCAAGAAATCCACTATGGGAAAAAAGAAAGAAAGAAAGAAAGAAAGAAAGAAAGAAAGAGAATAAAGATAGAAAAGAAGAGATGGGATGGGAACGCTAACAGTGTTTTGGCAAAAAGTAATATATGTAAATAGCTCATTCTTCACTCGTGCTTCCTGATAAAGGCTACTTCTGCCATGGTGGTGTTTTTCTAGGTAGATCCTAATTTATTGAATGGGTGCTATCCTGTCTATGTCTGTCTCGGGTTCCTGTGCTACAGAACACTGTTGCAGGACAACATTAGTTTGATATTTGATTTACACTCCAATGAGACTCGACGGTTGGGCCACTAGTTACTCTTGTTCCTTATTAAATCCATTCCACTGGTTAGATTTCTAGTGACTTGTAACACATAGTTTACACTGAACTGCAACTATAGATGAATACAGCTATTGAACTAGAAAAAAAAAGTCATTCCTGGTGTGCCAATAAATGATTTTTATGAGAGAAAAAAAAATGTCTGCACAGAAGTTCTTTCTTGGTCTTTACATATGGGGGCCACAATTCACCTTTATCAGAGCAATATCCATCCAGCAGAGTGTACTGGAAAAACACCGGAGCTCCTGAAATGTGTATTCTCCACACCATTTCCTTGAAAGCATGGCGCTGCCTCTGGCTTTTATCATCCTAGTCTAAACTCGATGTGAAGAGTGTACATTAGGGATGCTTTAAGGTGTACCTCCATGCCCCGGGAACTTTAACAACCTCCTTTCCCTAAAAGCCATAAACATGTGCTACAAAATATATCATGTCCCTGGTTCTTATATCAGGTCTTTTTTTTGGATGGGGAGCTCTTTTTGAGACAGGGTCTCTCTGTAGCCCCTGCTGACCTAGAACTCACTAGGTAGACCAGACTGGCCTCAAGTTCTGCCTCCCATCCTGGGACTAAAGACATGCATCACCATGCACCCTATAAATGCATTTTTTAATGGCAAAAAAAATTGTTTTTATGTAGTTGCACCACTACTGATCTGCTTCTCATTGTTGTTAGCCTCTTTCAATGAACTATCTTTATTTCTTATGAAAAAAGAAGCAGAGGATGGGGGTGATAGGTCAGTCAGTAAAGTTCTTAGAGGACCTGAGTTCAATTCCCAGAACTGAAGCAAAAATAGCCAAGCATGGAGGTGCATTCTTATAGTTCCAGCACTGGGGAGATGGAAACAGGTGGATTGCTGTCCAGCTAGCTTAGCCTACACTGGGGCTTGCTGCCCAGCCAGCTTAGCCTACACTGCAAGTTCTGAGGCAATAAAAGACCCTGTCTCAAAAAAATAAGTGGATGGCACCTAACGAATTATTCCTGAGGTTGTTCTCTGGCCTCCACACAGATGTGCATCTGCACCTGCACACACACACACACACACACACACACACACACACACACCTGTACACTCACATACATAAAGAAACACATTGTATAAGAGTCCCTGATCTGAGCTACAGTCTCCCAGCAGCCACTGTTCTCTGGTTGGCTGGTCTTCTTCTTGGCCCTTACTGGGGTGGTGGTCGGGGGGCGGGGGTCTTGAAATTGTCCACTCTTTGCCAAGTTCTCTTCAATGCTTAACGGGACACATTAGACACTTTATCCTTCTCCTGGTGCTAAGGTTAATGGACTTTCTGTTCCCCCGAGTTTTCTCACAGGAGTGATAAAATGATTTGCCAGAAATCACTCCGTTTTCTGGAAATGGCATCCTTTCTCCTGCCTCTAAAATATGCATTCATCTTTCACCCATATTCTCAACTCACAGAATAAGAAAAGGAGGACTCACTATTGGACCAGGATTTCCAATTAGAATCAAGGGAACCATAGCAATTAAAGAAGTTTTTCAGATCACGCTCCTTACCATTCTTATGGACACCTAGAGACACCTGCATATTCGTCCACCTGTTTCCTTCTCCACCTTCCAAAAACGGAGTGTGGCCTATCCATTGTCTTAGGGTCAGCGTTGGTGGAGTGGATCGGAAACTGTAGGTCTTCCACAGCCTTCATGATCATGAAACGAGCATACCCTTTTCCTTTTCCAGTCAAACCTTTACAGATTCACCAAAAAAATCCCAAAGGCAAAGTAGACAGTATCCATGCCTTTTTATATCAACATGTTTTTCTAAAATTATCTAAAAACTAATAAAGGTAATGAATTATATACTGTCATCTGGCCTGGTGGTTCAGGCCTGTAATTCTAGTACTTTGGAGACTGAAACAGGAGGATCACAATTTCAAGGTCCACTAAGGCTACAGAGCAAGTTCAAAGCCAGCAAGTTCAAAGTTCAAAGACCAACTTAGCAAAATCATGTCTCTAATAAAAGGCTTTTTTTTTTCTTTTTGAGACAGGGTCTCCCTGTAGCCCCATCTGGCCTTGAACTCACAGAGATCTGCCTGCCTCTGCTTCCTGAGTGCTGGGACTAAAGGCTTTTGACACCACACCCCGCCCAGCATAAAAGATTTTTTTTTAAGGCTGTGGATTTAGCTCAGGGGTAGAGAACCTGCCTAGAGTATGTGAAGTTCTGGATTCAAAATAATTAAATAATTTAAGAAGCATAACAGAAAGCTATATTTTAACTACTTGTTAACAACATACAGACAAAAATATGTATGACAAAAGAAGCCAACTTGATGAGACAAAGCTTCACAAAGCTGTAAAAGGCTGACTGTTGGCCCCGGCTAAAATTCTCTCCTCTGTTGGACAATATGCTCAACATGTATTTAGATGCTGTGGAGGACGTGCTTCCAGATGCTCAGTGATGACTGACACTGCAAACATTACCACAGTCTATAATTTTATTTTTTTCCTCCTTAACTAAGCCCTTGTTGTGAATTCTGGCAAAGCTTTGACAGTTGTTGAGGCTGGTAGGTAAGCATAAGGAACAGCTTAGCAACCTAGGACTCCATTTGGCTTGGACTGTACATAAACTCCTCTCAGAGCAATGTGCCAAGCAACCTGTTAGCAACCTAGGACCCCATCTGCATTGAGCTGCAGGTATACCTGTTCTAAACAATGGAAGTAAGTTACTCTCCTTTGCAGCCCCTTGATAATGCCCTGTTGCTATTCAACACATTCTGGAACATAGTCTGGGGAAGTATGGGCAATGAACTCTTCCATCCTAGACTGGTTTGGGGTACATGGGCAATAAGGCAAACTGTCCTCTGAATGAACTTTTGGGAAGAATCCCCTATTTATTATTTTATGCCTATGCATAATTGGGTGTGCCTATGGTGAAAATCAGATGCATTATGGGAAGGGATATGTGCAGTGAGCAAAGGCCTACGTAATCTAAGTCTGTCAACCAAAACAGAAAACCAACCGAATTGCACCCCTAGTAACCAAACTCCCCCTTCTCTTAATCTATAAAAGGAAACCCCAGACAGTCACTGGACCCCTGAGTATCTTTACTCAAGACTTGCTGCCAAGCTTGACAGTTTATTGCTTTCTAATCCTTTCTGTACCATTGCTTCACTTTAACAGTTTCCTTTCCAAATCTGTGGGAGGCCTTACCTCAATCCTTTGACTAAGAGACCAAGAACCTAGAAACACCCAGCACAGATCCTGACCACTGGTAACAGCTTGAAGTACAACAGCAGAACAGAATAAATTGGCTGGGTATGGTGGAGGCAGAGACAGGTGGATCTCTGTGAGTTTCAGGACATTCTGGTCACTCATTATGTAGTGAGTTCTAAGTCAGCCAGGGCTACATAATGAGATCCTGTCTCAAAACAAACATACAAACAAAACCAGCATACATTTATTTTTCACCCTTTCAAGATTGGAGAAGAGGCTTTCTTGCCATGGCCTTGGCAAACTCAGTGTATGATGCTTTTCTTTCCTCATTAAGTGGGAGAACGTTCATGTTTTCAACTAAAGGAAGCCACATGGCTTCTCTGGCATTTTCCAAATCACTGCTCTTACACTTAAGAGTAAAATAAATACTTTACTTGCATTAAGTAAAATAAAGGTTGCTTGAACACAAGAACTCCAATACATTGAGACAATGGATCTGACAACCAAGACAGCTACTAGGTGATGAATGAGGGGGTGGAGAAGTAGCACCTACAGCGTGGGGCACCCTGGACCAAGGGAAAATTCACACGCAGGAAGGATAGGGCAGGGTGGCCCAAGATTTTAGCTCATTATTCATAGAACATGTATTTTGTTTGGTTTTGTTTTTGGAAACAGTCTCACTATGTTGTTCTGCCTGGCCTTGAACTTGCCATGATCCTCCTGTTTCTGCTTCCAGAGTGCTGAAATTACAGATATGTACCACCATGCTCTGGCCAGACAATTTTAAATTTATGAATGGAATTTTCCATTTGATGTTTTCAGACCATGGTTGGTCATGAGTTCTGAAACCA